ACCGACACATTAACAGGAACACCTATAGTATAATCGATTTCAGTGTTTTAGTCTGAAAGCAAAGTGTTACACATACACACTGAACTGTACCATCAGTGAAGTTCTAATACAACCATCACTATCTCAACCATATACTTATCTTCAAATTCAACTTCAATTCAGCTACAGCAAGCATGTCCAAGCTCGGTCCTGGAGGGCCGGTGTCCTGCGAGTTTAAATCCAACCCCAATCAGACACACCTGGGCATGCCAATCAAGCTCTTACTAGGCTTTCTAGAAACATCCTTGCAGGTGTGTTGAGGCAAGTTGGAGCTTAAACCTGCAGGACACTGGCCCTCCTGAGCTACAGCCATGAAAAATGTGTGGCACAACATTTTACATTTGATATTAAGATATCTAAGCTTAATATGGCTATAAATGTGATTGTTTTAAGATTCAGACATACCTAGTTGACGTCAAAGAATTAGCAGTGCCAAACATGACTGTGGTCTCGCCTTGCGTTGGCTGCGTCTGGTCCCATCTGTGTTAAAAAGCTGTGTGTGAACAAACCAAACTAACCCAGGCTCATTCTTAAAATGTACCGCTATAAAAAATTTTGGAGACCAGCAAGTACATCCCAGGAGGTAAGGTTTTTGTGGTGTTTGTTTTTGCGAATCCACCAGAGGCCGCTGTGTACACCTTTTGAGATCCTAAATGTCTACACACCTGCTGTTCTCGTGTGAATCCAACAATGGCTGCTGTCGACAGACTGCTTGACTGACTGACCGATTGACTTACCCACCCTCCTTCTAAACCCAACCAATAGTGTTTTCAAAAGCAATCCAGAAAGAGAATAATTTATTATTCAAAAAATCTAAGATAAACTGAAAAAATAGTAATGATAAAGAATAATAATATAGATAACAACAAATAACACAAAAGGTAAATTATATACAATTTATAATAACAAAATAATCGAAAACAATAATAATAACAAATAATCCCCTAAACCCAGCAGGGGGAAAGGGCATAATTTGCGCTGAAAGAAAAGAGAATAACAAAACCAAAAAAACATCTAACTCAGTATAATCCTTTAACCTAACTGAAAACAAAAATAATCGAAAGTTTACACGCCCAAACTTACCAACTCTAAACTTAACCAAACCAAAAAATACAAAGCCAGTGCTCAATCCTGCACCTGTGATGTAAGGATGTGACATCTACCTCTCCAAATCTCCCCGGTGGACAACAAAGAATATCAGCATAATCTCAAATTACCAATAAAAAGAATATTAATGAAAATAAACAAAATAGCAAGAACAACTTTTGACAAAGCAATGTTATGTAACAAACAAAAAATATAAAAAATAACGGGAGGAAGATTAAAACAAAGAACAAAACAGGAACGCAAAAGCCTCTGTCCGGCGTCCCACTCGTCGTCTTTTTAAAACCCTGGCAACCACTCAGATTGGCTGCCGAAGCCACAACATCACTGAAGATAATGATGATTGACTGCTCCTACAGCCAATATCAATTAGAAGGGGGTTGAACCTGTAAAACCGAAGAGAGAAAGAGAAAGACCTAAAGAGAAAGACACGCACGCAAAATTCGAGGAGCGTAACATCCTCTCTGTGTCTGAAGTCCACCAACATACATGGCGAGCTAACTGGACAAACAGGTAACAGCAGGAAAGCCGTCCATATTGAGGTGTGCAGTCAGCTTAGGAATGGCATCATACCGCTCTTTAGCGTTCGTTTTAAAGATGAAATGCAGACATGCGTACATCTGGCTGCATAATTCGCGATTTCCAGAAATGTATATAGGGCTACTGTTTCAGAATGAGCCTATATTTACAGCCACAGATTACAGACAGAATAATAGTGGCATCCTTTGTTTACTTTCACATGTTTTCCTAAGCCACATAGCATGTGCATCATACTGAACACACAAGGAAATCTAAATAACAGTGATCACTAAAGATGAATTTGAACACAGATTAATACCAGGTAGAAACAGTGTTTTTTTAGTTGACTACTTATGATTAAAACATGGCAAATGCGTGTTAACACCTTGTGGTAACTAGGGCCTTATTTTCAATTTTCTTTTCAGATTTTCCTTTTGTTCACAATTCAGATGCTCAAACAGCATTCACACATGCTCTCAAAAACCCAACCCGCAGACATTTCCTTTGTGGCTGAACAGGTGAGCCCATCACTGCGTCATTACCCAGGCTTATCCAAAGGGTCAAACAGAGAGAGAAAGCAAAGAAAATGGCATCTGCTTATCCTTTCTTCTCACAAAGGGCACGATTATACCTTCCAAAGACCATTAACAGGATCATGGAGCGCTTAAACGGCAAATCATTGCCCCTTACCAGCTGAAATCCCGTCACTGCAAAGCGTTATGTTTTAAGCAACTACCGGTACAACATGTTTCCAATGGTTACCACTCTACACCCCATCTATCAGTATCCGCTGAAATGACAGGCTGTGATTGGCTGATAATGACCGGCGGTTTACATAATTCCAGTCCACCTCTAATTTTCCCTGTCATTAACTCCTCAGAGAGAACGCAAGGCGGTCAAACAATAGGCGATGAATTTTAGAGCACAATCTTATATATATTTATATATATACACATCTAAAAAAGGGATGGGTTGAACACACACACACACACACACACACACACACACACACACACACACACACACACACACACACACACAAAGGAAATAAAAAAACCTCATGCTCAAAAAAGAAGAGGCGAGAGAGGATGGAGAGAATTCTCTCTACGTACATGTTCATTGCTGACGTCTGTTCTTCCTTTCGTCATAGCGCTTGGAGCCAACTGGATAGAGGAGGTGGAAAGGGGCGTTTTGCAGCTTTTTCCAGTAATGTATAACATATAATCAGGCTTATTTGTGTTGCTGATTGTACGCACTGTTGAGCAATCCAATGTATTGTTTGTTTTTGTACTATAAAATTGGGAATTTTTCATTAAATTAATGTATTTTTGAAACAAAACTCTAATTTAAATCTGTGGAATGTTAGTACCTAAGAGCTGCTGACCTTAAGAGTGCCATTCTAATAATACAATGTATGTTAAGTTATTGAGTATTTCTGGAGAATCACACAATCATGTCAGTGTACACCTTTTCCTGCTTCTCAGCATGTAATGTCTACACAATCTGGCATCCCATCATGCACCTTGCGAAGCTGACACCCGGGGGGTAAACTGTAGCTCGTGACCCAGAAAATAGAGGTTGTGTCCTTTATACATATTGAGTATGAAGGGGAAGTCTGAAGACACTGTTACAGACGCGATACAGTGATAATACAATGAATAAATATATACAGTTGAAGTCATAATTATTAGCCCCCCTTTGAATTATTATTATTTTTTTTATTATTTCCCAAGTGATGTTTAACAGAGCAAGGAAATTTTCACAGTATGTCTGATAATATTTTTTCTTCTAGAGGAAGTATTATTTGTTTTATTTCGGCTAGAATAAAAGCAGTTATAATTTTTTAAAAACTATTTTAAGGACAAAATGATTAGCCGCTTTAAGCTAAAAAATTTTCCAATAGTCTACAGAATAAACCATCATTATACAATAACTTGCCTAATTACCATAACCTTACCTAAATAACCTAGTTAAGCCTTTATATGTCACTTTAAGCTGTATAGAAGTGTCTTGAAAAATATTTAGTCAAATATTATTTACTGTCATCATGGCAGAGATAAAATAAATCAGTCATTAGAAATGAGGTATTAAAACTATCATGATTAGAAATGTGTTGAAAAAAATCAAGACACCAAAATCAAGTCATCCTTAGTGCAAATTCTTTTCCATCGCACACTTCCAGTAGCGACTGACATGATATCTAAATTGCAGCGGATTTATCCAGGAGCGTGAAACAGTATTTTTCCATTGACTCTCTGCCGCAATTTTCAGTTTGCCGTGACAATTTTTGGCTCCCCCTCTGGCCCCGAGAGCAGCCATTTTGTGTGTCTCTCTCTGTCTGAAATGGGGGTGCAGCGTGAATCATCATTCGCCTCTGACAAGCACACACTTCACAGCTGATTGTGCAGAGCAGAGATGCAGGGCCGCCGCAGCCAGAATACATTACATCCCAGCTTTTTAAGCCGGTGAAGACTATTACCCAGAAGCCCTTTGGAAGTTCTTATCAGTGCCAACCAGATGGAGAACATGTGAGCGATGTCAGTACCTGCAGACTTGTTGATAAAACAACACAGCCAGGAATCGAAAATTGAAAAGAGATTGGGTTGTTAAATGCCTTGATTTGGTTAGTAATGAAATCTCATTAATATAGAATGTTTCATTATTTCATATGCATAAGGATTATTTTGGTACACATATAAGCTCGATTAACAGTACATGGATAGAGGCGGTGAGTTCTTGCTTTTGTTTTCCTAAGTGTGCATGCATACAGTTTGTGTCGTTTGTGCTCAATAAACATGTCAGAAGTGACTTTTGTTTATCCATGTTACATGATTACAGGACATGAGAAACCCACAGAATTTCACAGTTTGACTTCGGTCCAAAAAACAACATGCATCCAATCGACTCATATCCTACAAACACACCCCCTAAAACCACAATGCTTGTGTATGTCTGCTTGTACCACAAAGAAAGTTCATTTTCCTTTTTTTTTTATCCCAAATGCCAACAGCAGAATGCGTGTCTGCCCCCTTGTGTCAGAAAATAGTTTTGGAACCTGTCAAGAAATATCAAGAGTGACATTTGAACCAAATATTTTTAGAAAAAAAATCTAATATTAATATATTAATAAAAATGGTTATATTTATACAATTTTACATTAGCAAACTTAAAATCATGTTAGAGTAATTATATAATATATAATATAATATAATATATATAATATATATATATATATATATATATATATATATATATATATATATATATATATATATATATATATATATATATATATACATAGAGAGAGAGAGAGAGAGAGAGAGAGATTTATTTAATATTTGTGTACTGTACAAATTTGAATGAAAACATAGATAAAATCCCAGCTGTAGTAAGTCAGCGAGGCATCTGTTAATGTACTACAACCTTTAAAATCAACAGTAGGGTGACTTACTGTAAACATTTTTCTTCGATATGTGTGTACTGTACAAATTTGAAAGAAAATATGGGTAAAAGTAGTAAGTAGTAAGTCAGTGAGGCCTCTGTGATTGTACTACAACCTTTAAAGTCATAAAACTTCAGTAACGTGATTTAATGTAAATATGCTTTGTCAATATTTGTGTACTGTACAAAAATGAATAAAAGTATGATTCAAATCTCACCTGTAGTAAGTCAGTGAGGCCTCTGTGAATGTACTTCACCATTTAATATAATAAATTACAGTTGGGTGATTTATTGTAAATGTTTCATCAATATTTGTGTACTTTACAAATATGAATATGAAGTGTGGGTAAAATCTCATCTGTAGTAAGTCAGTCTGGCCTATATGAATGTACTACACCCTTTTAAATCATAAAATTACAGTAGGGTGATTTACTGTAAAAAAAAAATCATCAATATTTGTGTACTGTACAAATATGATTAAAATTATGGGTAAATTCTCACCTGTAGTAAGTCAGTGAGGACTCTATGAATGTACTACACACCTTTTAAATCATAAAATTACAGTAGGGTGATTTACTGTAAAAAAATCATCAATATTTGTGTACTGTATAAATATGATTGAAATTATGGGTAAATTCTCACCTGTAGTAAGTAAGTGAGGACTTGTATGAATGTACTACACACCTTTTAAATCATAAAATTACTCTAGGGTGACTTACGGTAAATATTTTAGGGATAAGGAGTTCAGCTGCTGCCTGGGCTTTTACGCCTCCCTTTCTGCATGTGTTCAATACTTGTTTTCCTGGTATATATTTTTAAATTATTTTACAGTTCATGCATTCAACATACATTTGTACACAGCTAATGTGGTGATCATCCAAGTAAACTATGACACAATTAATTATTCTGAAATGTAAAAAAGAAATGTAATATACACATTATGCATAATTTACTTAAACTGTGTAAATAATTTATAGTCATTTAAAAAAGACGATCTTATTGTATTTTTAGTATTGTATTTAGTAAGAATTAATTTTATTCATATTTCAATTGTAGTCATGTATTAAAATACTTTATAATCTAATTAAAGTACATATTTTTAAAGTCAAATTACATAATTCAAATGACATGTAATCACTTACCACCCAGCACAGATTATTTATAGTATTATTAATTATATTACTCATAAAACTCGTGTGTGTGAACAGATTTAACCATGCACTTTTTTTTTTTTTTTTTGAAGTGATCCATTAAAATGGCTATGAATGACAGCCATATCCATAGCTGCCCTACATTTAATACTGTCATAATGTAAGTGTCAGTGCTCTGCTGACCTGCATTAAACAGACACAGTATCATCCTTCACTTTCGCTTGCGGGGTAAAATGACCAGGATGTAGCTCAGTATGTCCACTGGTGCATGTGCAGGCCTTTGGCAACCTCGTCCAGCTCTGACCCACTTAAAATGGTGTGTTGGTTATTTTAAGACACCAGTCGCACACCCTGCGGCACAAATACGCATAGCTTGATCAGTTTTAGAGGATGGTGTGGCAGTCCAGAGTCAAAATGGCATGTGATATTCAAGACAATGGCTGCAACTGACAGGAATAGATTTCATGCTTGGCTAAAAACTGCAGAGCAATGAGTGAGACAAAACTGGAACAACCATATGACGACACTACACAGCATATTACAGAGCTGATTAGGTTTAGGAAAGAATTGTACTGTCATGTTTGATTGTGAAGGGTTTGCTAGACACCAGTCTCATAATGTGAATCATCTTTATGAATTAGTTTGTGGATATCACTATCATCAGTATTGTTATAATCTTTGATAATTTACTGCATATGAAATGCACAGATCATACCTGTAAACCATCCCATTTTTCCTGAGATTCTCCCATATTTTTCCATTCTATCCCTTATTTGTAGTCTTTGAAAAGTGACAGTAAAATCTATACAAAGTATAATACCGCCGAACCACCAGGGGGCCGTCTTGCTCTCAAGTGCTGTTCTAGACCAGTGTTTCCCAAAAACTGATATATATATATATATATATATATATAAATATTATTTTAATAAATATTTATTATAATAAGAGTATTATTACTATTATACAATTATTCTATTTTAAACAAATAATAGAAAAAATTCTAAATGTAACTGTACCATGTAAAGTCACACAACTGAAGTGATATGCAATAATTTAAGAAATCTTTTGCATAAATATGTTAATTTCAGAACAGCATGGGGGCTCAGTGGTTAGCACTGTCGCCTCACAGCAAGAAGGTCACTGGTTCGAGTCCCAGCTGGTCCAGTTGGCGTTTCTGTGTGGAGTTTGCATGTTCTACTCTTGTTGGCGTGGGTTTCCTCGCCTACGGGTGCTCCGGTTTACCCCACAGTCCAAACACATGCTCTATCGGGGAACTGAATAACTTAATTGGCTGTAGTGTGAGTGTGTGTGTATGAGAGTGTGTAAGGGTGTTTCCCAGTACTGGTTTGTGGCTGGAAGGGCATATGCGGCATAAAACATTTGCCAGAACAGTTGGCGGTTTATTCCGCTGTGGCGACCTTTGAAATAGAGACTAAGCTGAAGGAAAATCAATGAATGAATATTAATTTCATTAGAATGAAGTTCTATAGACAATTGTAAAAAAACACATAAATATGTTTTATAGAATTATCTGGTGTGCTGTCTTAGACCCGACTTATGGCTAAGAATTAGGTTTATTATGTCTCTTTTCCCTGACTTCATCCTTCCTTTCTGCTTCATACAAAAATCTACGCAGGGGCTGTCCTTAGTCAAAATAAGATCATCATCATATTATTTAACTTTAGTTTGGTCGACTGCCAAAACTCACTGCTTGCCGACACCTGTAAATAAAAGGCTGTTACCCCTGCCATAAACGCACCCCCTCTGAAATGTACATCTTTTAACTTAAATTAATTGTTTTTTTTAAATAACAGAGTTATGACACTAATGGAAGTGAACTCTTCCCTTACAGAACATTATTTACTCTTTTTTTTACATTTGTTTGTAAACTTGGTGCATTTTAAAATGCGTTTCACTTACTGTTTTTGCTTCATCATTGAGATAATAATCATGTTACGTTCTAATCAATTTTGGCCTTTGGTTTTTATGAATAAGATTCCCAATGAAAGTTTATGAAAGGGGTGCATTTCTTGGCACAACACCTGTTGCATAACGCATGAGCAGCACATGAGCAGCGCCTTTATTTTCGCCATGCATGTTAACATCCGAGATTCATACGTGGAGCGGGAACGCGAGCAGCGCGTTAGCATCAAGCAGGAGCGGTGCGAAAGACGCGCGGGTGTGTTTTCTGCGCACATGCATCAATTTGTTTTTGATTACATTGCTTTAACCAGCGTTGGCTTGATGGCATATAGAGAATAACTTTATATAATGATAAAAGTCTTTATTATAACAGAAAAAATACAAGGATGATTTTTCTGCTTGAGAAAATGGATGTGTGGCTTGGCTTATTAATGATTAATAAAGGAATTATAATGCTTTGTTTCATTGTTTATCTTTCTTTACAAGTAGCAGCGTATTTACAGCTAATGTATAGGCTATTTCTGTTCATTCGCATCCCGTCCCTTTGTGCCCGCTGGCGGCATATTCACAAACTGCAGTCATACATTAAAAACACGTTCTTACCCCTTTAGAGCGGCGGCGGTACAAGCCACGGCGGTAATGGCCATATTAAACTATCACCTACTGTATTTCCATTTCGTAAGACAGCCACTAGATTCAGCCGAGTCAGACATCTTCCGCTTTAGAATATATCTATGCAGCAATCTGCTGCGAAATCATGCACACCTACAGGCCTTTAGCTGTAGATGAGTTTGGAAGCAACACGTAACATTTGAATAACATTTTGGCAAAATGAACGAAATGACTCGAAAAAGGGTTTGTACATCTCGCTGAGCGAGACTCAAAGGTCAGAGTAAGTAAAACGATTTGAACTTCCCATCACTACTTTCCCCATGTAGTCATGACTGGTCAAATAAACCCGCAGGTGTCCTCGATTCAAGTGTTTGGGATCTGACATAAACACAATTTCAGATGGTGAACTCTGGCTCAGAATCACGCCACTGCACCTGCCACGCATTCAGAAAGTATGAACCCACCCAGTGAAAGCAGTCACTTTCAGAGACTCATAGCTGCAGCTGCTGCACTCGGCCTTCATTCCAGTCACGTTGGTTATGATGCTTCAGGCTCCATTAGGCTCAAAGCATGGCGTCCCCTTCAGCGAGATCCTCCGGTACCCTCAGCAGTCAGCAAGAGGACCACAGCTGTCTGTTCTGAAAGGACAGCAGGTGGACACACTCTCACAAGCCATCCCATCCAAAAATGACTTATGTGGCAACCGGCAATCGTTGCTTTGTCAGTCACGAACTAAAAAGAGAGACAGAAAGGAAGCTGAGTAAAAAAAAAGTGTGTGAATGACAAAGATAGAGTCCCACAGAAAAGATAAACAGCCACAGTTGAACCCTGTAATGGCTTTGCGCTGCTAATTTGTCACTCCACTTGAACGGCAAACAGCAGGAAGACAGTGAGGACATGCCGCTCTGTCACTTCCTGCTGCCCAAAGACACGCTCGCAAAACCCTCATCTGGGGTTCATTCTGGCGGTGAAGACATCAGCTATATTTAGACATCTGGAAAAGAAAGCTCTATCAGAGGAAAGAGAAAAAACATGAGCTCGATGTCTTTATAAAGGGGGAGAGGAAAAAAGATAGCTGTGGTCCTTCCAACACAATCTCACGACAATTCTGACCTTTTTGATTTAGTGGCTATAAATTCGTAGGAATTCATAAGATCTCATTGGTACAATTTTTTATGATTTGCCCCCAATGAGGGTTGGGTTTAGGGATGGGGTTGGGTGCCACGCCTGCTTTTTAAAATCGTACACTTTTGTACAACTGAACTCGTACAATCACTACACAAATGTGGTTCACATGGTTTTGATGAATTGAAGGTAGTTCAGTTTGGTTTAAGCTACCTTTTAAAACATGTCATTAAAGCATGCTTCTAATCCAGTCTCTCACCTCCAATCAAAGCTCTTCTGTGTCAATATATTACAACAAAGCTTGCAAGTAGAGACTGATAAATGGTATCAGAGTGCCCTCTGGTGCCTCAAAATAGATGTGATGATGAGTAGAAATAAATCAAATCCATTAAATCCGTTGGCAGTATTTAAACGCTGTCTTGTTAGGCTGGCTTGTCAAAGCCAACCTACTGTTATCCTATTTAAACTTATTATTATTATTATTAGGCTGGCTTGTCAAAGCCAACCTACTGTTATCCTATTTAAACTTATTATTAGGCTGGCTTGAGAAACAAGCCAGACTACTGAAATCCTATTTAAACTTATTATTTTTTTTATATATTATTCTTCTTCTTCTGAGACTAAAATTCAAAATCTATCTCCTCCTAGAGCTTTCGAGCTATGACCACCAAACTCACACCAGACCTCCAAACTATTCTGACTCGGTATGCCATATCTTTTCCGACTGATCCGACTTTCGATTTTCCGAAAAACGTCCCGGGACCGTCGGAAAAATCCCATAGACTTAACATTGGACTAAACTTTGTGAGCTCATAACTCTGCATCAGACTGTCACACAGACTTCTAACTGGGCTCATTTAACTCAGACTACCTAACTGCCAATAACTGATGAGCTTTTAACTTTCTGGCCACGCCCTAGCAACCACTTTTGGACCCTAGAAACTGTCCCATAGACTTCCATTCAAAAGACTCTCATTGACTTAACATGGGATCAAACTTTGTGAGCTCATAACTTTGCATCACACTGTCATACAGACTAATGGCTGAGCTCATGTAACTCAGACTACCAAACTGCCAATAACTGATGAGCTTTTAACTTTCTAGCCACACCCTAACTACCAGATACTGCACCCTAGCAACAACTGTCCCATAGACTTTTACTGCAATAGACTGTCATTGACTTAACAATAGATCTAACTTTGTGACCTCAAAACTATCTATCTATCTATCTATCCTTTTTCAAACTGCTTTTATCTATGTATCTATCTATCTATTTATCTATCTATCTATCTATCTATCTATCTATCTATCTATCTATAAACTGCTTTAATCTATCTATCTATCTATCTATCTATCTATCTATCTATCTATCTATCTATCTATCTATCTATCTATCTATCTATCTATCTATCTATCAGCTGTTTTATCTATCTATCTATCTATCTATCTATCTATCTATCTATCTATCTATCTATCTATCTATCTATCTATCTATCTATCTATCTATAAGCTGTTTTTTATCTATCTATCTATCTATCTATCTATCTATCTATCTATCTATCTATCTATCTATCTATCTATCTATCTATCTATCTATCTATCTATCTATAAGCTGTTTTTATCTATCTATCTATCTATCTATCTATCTATCTATCTATCTATCTATCTATCTATCTATCTATCTATCTATCTATCTATCTATCTAACATCTAACATTTATCTATCTATCTATCTATCTATCTATCTATCTATCTATCTATCTATCTATCTATCTATCTGTATATCTATCTATCTATCTATCTATCTATCTATCTATCTATCTATCTATCTATCTATCTATCTATCTCTATCTATCTATCTATCTATCTATCTATCTATCTATCTATCTACCTCTATCTATCTATCTATCTATCTATCTATCTATCTATCTACTTCTATATCTATCTATCTACCTATATCTATCTATCTATCTATCGATCTATCTATCATGCTAAAAACATGCTAATTCATGCTAGAATCATGCTAGTTACATGCTAATTCATGCTAGAATCATGCTAGTCACATGCTAATTCATGCTAGAATCATGCTAACAACATGCTAATTCATGATAGTAACATGCTAATTCATGCTAGAATCATGCTAAAAACATGCTAATTCATGCTAGTAACATGCTAACTCATGCTAGAATCATGCTAGTCACATGCTAATTCATGCTAGAATCATGCTAACAACATGCTAATTCATGCTAGAATCATGCTAGTCACATGCTAATTGATGCTAGAATCATGCTAGTCACATGCTAATTCATGCTAGAATCATGCTAACAACATGCTAATTCATGCTAGAATCATGCTAGTAACATGCTAATTCATGCTAGAATCATGCTAGTAACATGCTAATTCATGCTAGAATCATGCTAGAATCATGCTAGGCACATGCTAATACATGCTAGAATCATGCTAGTCACATGCTAATTCATGCTAGAATCATGCTAACAACATGCTAATTCATGCTAGTAACATGCTAACTCATGCTAGAATCATGCTAGTCATGTGCTTATTCATGCTAGAATCATGCTAACAACATGCTAATTCATGCTAGAATCATGCTAGTCACATGCTAATTCATGCTAGAATCTTGCTAGTCACATACTAATTCATGCTAGAATCATGCTAGTCACATGCTAATTCATGCTAGAATCATGCTAACAACATGCTATATTATGTTAGAATTGTGCTAGTAACATGCTAATTCATGCTAAAATCATGCTAGTTACATGCTAATTCATGCTAGAATCACGCTAACAACATGCTAATTCATGCTAGAATCGTGCTAGTAACATGCTAATTCATGCTAGAATCATGCTAACATCATGCTAATTCATGCTAGAATCATGCTAGTAACATGCTAATTCATGTTAGAATCATGCTAGTTCATGCTAGAATCATGCTAGTAGCATGCTAATTCATGCTAGAATCATGCTAATTCATGTTAGAATCATGTTAGAATCATGCTAGTAACATGCTAATTAATGCTAGAATCATGCTAACAACATGCTACTTTGTGCTAGAATCATGCTAGTAACATGCTAATTCATGCTAGAATTATGCTAGTAACATGCTAATTCATGCTAGAGTCATGCTAGTAACATGCTAATGCATCCTAGAATCATGCTAATAACATGCTAATTCATGCTAGAATCATGCTAATTCATGCTAGAATCATGCTAATAACAGGCTCATACATGCTAGAATCATATTAGTAACATGCTAATTCATGCTAGAATCAAGCTAACAACATGCTAATTCATGCTAGAATCATGCTAAACTTTAAACTACTTTAAACTTAAAACTGCTTTAAGACTTTAAACTACTTTAAACTGCTTTAAAACTTTAAACTGCTTTAAAACTTTAAGCTACTTTAAACTTAAAATTGCTTTTTAAAACTTAAAGATTAAAGCTTTCTCAAGCCAGCCTAAAGTTTGTCTCGACGAACTTTAATAATCTAGTTATTATTTTTATTTATTCTTCTTCTGAGACTAAATTTCAAAATCTATCTGCTCCTTGAACTTTCAAACTATTACCACCAAACTCACACCAGACCTCCAAACTGGTCTGACTCTTTATGCTATATCTTTTCCGACTGATCCGACTTTCGGTTTTCCGAAAAACGTCCCGGGACTGTCGGAAAAATCCCATAGACTTAACATTGGATCAAACTTTGTGACCTCATAACTCTGCGTCAGACTGTTGCACAGACTTCTAACTGGGCTCATTTAACTCAGACTATCAAACTGCCAATGACTGATCACTTTTAAACTTTCTAGCCACGCCCTAGCAACCACTTTTGGACCCTAGCAACTGTCCCATAGACTTCCATTCAACAGACTCTCATTGACTTAACATGGGATCAAACTTTGTGAGCTCATAACTCTGCATCAGACTGTCCTACAGACTAATGGCTGAGCTCATTTAACTCAGACTACCAAACTGCCAATAACTGATGAGCTTTAAACTTTCTAGCCACACCCCTAACTACCACAAACTGCACCCTAGCAACTGTTCCATAGACTTCCATTACAAAGACTCTCATTGACTTTACATGGGATCAAACTTTGTAAGCTCATAACTCTCCATCAGACTGTCTTACAGACTAATGGCTGAGCTCATTTAACTTTGTCTAGCCAGCAGCCAATCACTGATGGCCTTTTAACTTTCTAGCCACACCCCTAACTACCACATACTGCACCATAGCAACTGTCCCATAGAAAATGCTAATAATTCTAACATGCTAATGACATGTCAATCATGCTAGCAACATGCTACTCATATGCTAATCATGCTAATGACATGCTAACTCATACTGGAAACATGCTAATGACATGCTAATTTGTACTAGAATCATGCTAATAACATGCTAACTAATGCTAGAATCATGCTAGTAACATGCTAATTCATGCTAGAATCATGCTAGTAACATGCTAACTCATACTAGAATCATGCTAACAACATGCTAATTCATGCTAATTTTACTACAATCATGCTAATAACACTACTTCATGCTACAATCTGGCTAGTAAAAGGCTAATTCGTGCTAGAATCATGTTA